GTTAATGATTTGTTTAGCTTATAATGTTCTACATATACTTTTAGAAAATTTTTTCAAACTGTATTTGTGTATTTTTCTACTCATGGTTCTCTTTTGATATATCAAGCAGAAAAAAAGGACAAAAGCAGGAACAGGACTCTTTAGGCATTTTTTAAAATTAAGTTGAAGTTTACTAAACAAAAGTAATATTAGCATGTTTTTATTTTTTAATCTTGTTATGACCAGCACTGCTGTTTTGTAGAAGCTGCATCCACATGTACCTTTCCCTTCCTCAGTTTCTCTGTCCCTTATCGGTTGTCTGGCCTCATCCCTCTCCTCCCCACTAACAGCCCGTCTTCACCACAACTTTAGGCTGACCGAACAATTTAAAATCCAAAAGGATAACAACAAAATGTACCTGAGACTCATACACAAACTTAGGATAACATATAACTGTATAGTTTTGTATAGCAAATACATTCTATAAATTAAATTTTCCCTTTAGTTTAAAATATTTGTGTTGCTCTTATTGGTCAGACTAGTTAAATTATTTAAGGCATGGCTTAAAAATGAGTAAATGGTTCTAAGCTAGCAAGTAAAAATACATTCAATTTTTTGTTTACCTCCTTTATTTTCACATGCTTGTGTCTTTTTAACCTTATACTATTCAGGATTATTGCAATAAATGTAATGGGATCAGAAAAGAATTGGCAAGAAAGAGAAGATTAGATTGAGGGGAATTTGTTCTTAGAGTCTAATCTCTAATGCAGAAAATATATACACATTTAAATATTAAGAACTTCACTGTTAAATTTCTCTTGCCATTTTCAGTATTTTTATCACCCAAAATGGTAGTTTTGAAGTCACATAAAACTAAATAAATACATGTTACTTGAATTTATTTTTACAATTCAAACTTTTAATCCTACTTTTTATTATGATTATAAAATACTTTTTCTTTTTTTTAACCAGATGATTAAGAAAGCCATTAATAATGTTCGAAGAATGACTTCTCATCCAACTCTTCCTTACTGTAAGTTGCTAATATTTAGTGATCATTTTTTCCTATTCTATTATTCTTTTTTTGGTAATTTTTATTATTAGAAATTTATGGGAATCTTTTCAACTGAAAGCATTTACTCAGCTTTTTTTGTAGAGAATATTTGCTAGTAAATAAAATCTTTGTTTCATAGTTGGATAAAAATAGAAAAAGAAATTTCCCCGAATTAATAGAGAAAGCTGACTTAATGGTGTAGGCATTTTGATTTCATATTTCTCAGGAGACTTTATCTTTGAATATTTTTGGATTTCTTAGTGCTAAATTATGGTGGATAATTATTGTTTTAATAGTAGGATCACTGCCAACTTTTACTACACAGAACAGGACCGTGCCTTGGTCATTTACTGTCTCATCATAATCAGTTTGCGTTTTATCAGTTTTTTTTGCAGTTTTTCTTATATGAGGCAGATTAGCAGTAAGCACAGGAAATAATTATTAGTATGTTCTTATATTCTAAGGCAGAATATATTTGTTTTCAGTTAATTTTCCTAGAAATCTCAAAAGTTTCTCTTCCTTTATCCACGAACTTAATTAATGGGGAATTTATTAGAGGTATTGGTTCTGGTGGGTTGTAACCAATACTCATATTGATATGTGAGTATTTCAAGTTTTTAAAATATGACTTTTTAAGTTGTGTCCTTCCTCAAGTTGTTCTATCGCACAATAACAAGAATTCATGTTAATTAATATGTTGAAGGAACCTCATTCAGCGTGTATCCTGATAAGTGACTAGTTTGTATGAATATTTTCTACCTCAAGTACATAAATTTAAATAAAGAGACTCCTCTAGTTTCAAAGGCAATTGATGGACCTATTTTTAGCAGTATAAGGTAACATCACATCACTGCTATCTTGATAAAGAAACACTTTAACTGTTCAGAGAACTACCATAACTAGCAGGTAAGAGAGGTGAGAAAGTAAAAGCTGATTAAACTAATCACTGGGGTTTTTTTCAGCATATCTTTTCATGCTGTGAACAAGTCCCACAGATGGTAATGCTTTAAAAGTGAAAATGTTGAGACAGGGTTTTTAAAAATCTTACTCTGAAATTCAGGTGATACAAAATAGCTGTTTTCTTCCTTTGGAAAAGATCTTTTAAAAAATCTTAGTCACTGTAAGCCACTACTTTTTGACTTCTATTCCAAAGGACTTTTTAGAAGTTAATTTAATACGTTTGTAATTTTCAAGGTGGGAAAACACACTCTGTTTTCCATACTCTCACAAACACTTCTGATATAGATGTGTTAGTTTTTTCTACCCCACACCATTTTCTAACTCTTCAAATACCAGCTGAATGTCCTATTCTGGCACTATCCACCTAAAGTTAGAATCAGATCCCACAAGTAAGGGCTCAGTCCTATAATACTGCCCCCCAATTCGAAGGTCAGTCACTCATAAGTCGTGGGTTGTCACCTATAGTTCTGACCAACCAGCTATAAATCGGATGTCCCACAACTCCCTCAAGTTTGATTAATTTCCTAGAATGACTCACAGAACTCTAACACTTTACTTACATTTACCAGTTTATTAAAAGGAAACTGTAAAGGACACAGATAAACAGGTAGACAGGGTAAAGTCTAGAAGGGTCCTAAATTCAGGATGGAGTTGGGATGTTCACTTTTCCCACACATGGATGCGTTCATGTCAAATCTCCTTGTTTAAGAGTTTTTATAGAAGGCTGGATGCAGTGGCTCATGCCTATAATCCTTGCACTCTGGGAAGCCAAGGAGGGTGGATTGCCTGAGCTCACGAGTTCAAGACCAGCCTGAGCTAGAGTAGAGCAAGACTCTGTCACTAAAAATGACAAGGTGTTGTGGCAAGTTGTGGCAAATTACAGGTGTTGTGGCAAGCACCTGTAATCCCAGCTACTTGGGAGGGTGAGGCAAGAGAATTGCTTGAGCCCAGGAATCTGAGGTTGCTGTGAGCTATGACACCACAGCACTCTACCAGGGGTGATGAAGTAAGACTCTATCTCATAAAAGAAAAAAAAAAGGTTTTTTTTGTTTGTTTGTTTTGTTTTTGCAGTTTTTGGCCAGGGCCAGGTTTGAACCCGCCACCTCCCAGTCTATGGGGCTAGCACCCTACTCCTTTGAGCCACAAGCACTGCCCCCCAAAAAAGAGTTTTTGTAGAGTTTAATCTCGCTACCCTTTTCTGCAGTGTCGTGGTTGAGGCTGCAAGTTCCAATAGGCTATTGAAGGGATTCACTGTAAGTCACCTCATTAGGGTAAATCCATCTGCTCTTTATGAATGACAAAAGCCATTCCTATCTCTCAGGAAATACCAAGAATTTTAGGACCTCTATGCCAGTACTGGGACAAAGACCAAATATATCTATTTTGTGCCACACTGGGTCATTCTTTTTCCTTTATTAATGTTTAATATGTTTTCCTTTTTTAATAAATACTTGTTGAAATCACTCAA